GAGATGACGCCATCTGGCATTTTTGCGAGAGGATCATATTCAGCTAAAACACAGGTAAATATTACCTTTTTCCCTATCTTTTCCATATACATTGCATTTACTTTGCTTCAGCAGACGATTAACAAATGAGACCTTTTCACGTGTTACGATTTCTCATCTAAATACTGAGGGACGGTGCCTCTTAATTGTTCTGGGTAAGGAATAGACCCAGACATGAATTCTCTTCACCTGTAAACGAATTCCTAGAATTTTAGGGCGGACGAAGAACTGTAATTCTTTCTACTTGTAGTCCAAACTCATTAGGATGTGAAAAAATCTCTCTTTTCCTCGCACTTTTCTTCATTTAACATATGCCAAAATAGCATATTAATATCCTTGATCTCTCCTCTTTTCTCCTTACAGTTCCTTGACGACGATAACAGGTGTTACATGGGGATGACTTATACATTTGACATCAGGAAAGAGTGGCAATCCAAAAAATGAGACTTGATGTTCGAAGTGTTGTTTTTTTGTTTCTAGTTTTTATGTCAATCGGTTGTGATTTGCATTGTGAGGATGATTGAAGACAATGGTAAGAGAAAACAAAGATTCTTGCGTATGATTGATTATTAAGACGAGGAAAAATCGATAATTGTAACAGTTTTTTTGGAGTTTCATGCTATTCTGTCCTGTTTAAAAGTTTGGCTGCTATTCATTTGCTTTGTTCTTGTTCTTGCCTTTTCTTCTCTCTTTTGCTCGACCAATAGAAGCATTGGCTGTGGCCAGAGGCCCAGGAAATGCTTGTAGTCCTGTACAAACAAGAACCCTCATCAAATATTTATCCCCACACCCATCATATCAGTAATCTACATAGTGTGTTTGGCTCAAACTATATGGGCATTTTATTTCAAGCTATATACGTACAGGATTCGTGCTGCTAATTTGATCACGTTGGAAAAATTTCTAGTACTCTTGAAATGTGCAGTACTCCCAACCGTATTTTAATTTACACGTATATTAAATAGTTGAAACCTACTATGTAATTGAAATTCAGACATTGATAAATAACAATAATGCTGTGTGTACATCCAGAGTTGACGCCCTTCGCACATAGGGGTGGGGTCCGCACGTAATAAAATATTCAAAAAAGCTAATTGTACAAAAAA